ACTGCCTTTGGCTCGGGTCATGATCCTGGAGTCCCGGGATCGAGTCCCGCATCGGGCTTCCTGCTCGGCGGGGAGTCCGCTTCTCCCTCTGACCCTCTTCCCTCTCGTGCTCTCTATCTCTCATTCTCTCTCTCTCAAATAAATAAATAAATAAATAAAATCTTAAAAAAAAAAAAAAGAAAACCAAAATGTGGAAAGAAGCTGCTTGCAGCCACTGACCACCCCCCACCCCCCTGCAGCTGTCATCGGTGTTAAACTTCCCGGGTGTGATAAGATACGAGGGTTACATGGAAGACTGTCCCTTCCCTCGAAGTTGTGGGCTTCAAGATTTAGAGGTGAAATGTTATGCTGTCTGCAACTTACTTTCAAAGAGATAAAGCGGATATCTAAGTGCAGGGAATGAAGGGGGTCATTGTACTATTCTTGTAACTTTTCTGTAGTTTGAAATTTTTTCAAAATAAAATATTGGGGGCAAATGACCCCAAGAAATCCATCACTGTCACGGTTGGAGAGAAATGGTTACCTGCAATAGCTCTGGGCTGTATGCATGTCAGGCCAGGCAGCGGGCATGCCAGTGAGTGTCCCCAGAGGCGAGTGGGTTCAGGGAAACCGAGTCACATCAAACACATGCTAAGCAGACTGATCAAAAGTCTGACTGCCAAGCTGACAGCAGGTCACGTGGAAGAAGGCACATCACCTCAGATCCTTTGTGGACCAAGGCAGGGTGTGTCTAGATGAAAGAAACACAAATGTCAGAAGTTGAATTCTCAGCGGACGGGCACCTGGGTGGCTCAGTCAGCTAAGCATCTGCCTTCAGCTCAGGTCATGATCCCAGGGCCCTGGGATCAAGCCCCACGTTGGGCTCCCTGATCAGCGGGGAGCCTGCTTCTCCCTCTCCCTCTGCCTGTCACTTCCCCCTGCTTGTGCTCTCTCTCTCTCTCTCTCTCTCTCTCTCTCTCTCTGTCAAGTGGATAAAGTCTTAAAAAAAATAAAAATAAATGAATTCTCAACAGAATGTTGCCCTTGGAGCCAGGGGGTGGCTTAGATGTTCTTAGCAGCAAGGCTCACTGGAAGCATTGTGTGTATGTTTCCATATTGGAGAGACCCAGAGCCTGGTCTCGGCAAGCCCTGCCTCCCTGTTCTTTCTTCCTGCTTCTTAGCACGCCCTTAACATCCTTGTTTCATCCCCTGTCATTGGAAGGGCATCTGTTCTTTTTTTTTTTTTTTAGATTTTATTTATTTATTCATTTATTTGACAGAGAGAGACACAGCGAGAGAGGGAACACAAGCAGGGGGAGTGGGAGAGGGAGAAGCAGGCTTCCCGCTGAGCAGGGAGCCCGACGCGGGGCTCGATCCCAGGACCCTGGGACCATGACCTGAGCCGAAGGCAGACGCTTAACTGACTGAGCCACCCAGGTGCCCCGGAAGGGCATCTGTTCTTGAAAGACAAAGGTGAAGGCAGAGTTAAAGAGGGCACTGTCTCTGCCAAATGGCATCTCAGGATGGGCTGCCCACGTGCGCCTGCTCAGTGTCCCCCAAGGCCCCTCTCCCTGGAGCCTGCAGGTTGGCATGTGGACCATTGCTATGACGGTTGAGATACTTTTGAAACTGGGTACCTGTGCTGGATGTTCTGTTCCACCTGGGCACCTCTCAGGTGGGTGGTAGGTCTGAACCAAGCCATCACCTGAAGAACCCCGCAGGTGAGGGCCGGTGAGCCTTGCCTCTGCTCGGGCAGTGGCCAGCCAACCTCTAACCCTCCCACAAGGCCTGGGCAAATGGTGTGGCCTGGCTCAGAGTTGGGGGCCCGGAGGCAGGGCATGCCAGTGGGTGAAGAGCAGGGTGGCATTTGCTTGGGGAAACAGCTTTGTTCCATGACAGTGCGTTGAAGGCTCTGTATGCCTTAGAAGAGGAAAAAGGCTATGGGTGTCTCTAGGGAGGCCACCCTTACCTCAGAGAAGTCAGTGGGAGGGAGGGGAAGATGTGCTTCCTTGGGTGGCTCAGGTAGGAATGAGGGTGGGAGGGTGGGGGCAGAGGGGACCAGGGTCTTATATGGGGTGGGTTTTTCACCTAGTATCTGAGTGATTCCTCCCCCCACTTTTGCTGTTTTTCTCTTAGTAGCTGTTTGCCTCATTGATAGAGTAGAGCCACTGAAAATGGCTGGGGTCTGCACGGCCTTGTTCATTCCACACCTTTGAGCAATAACTTCTCATTTGATTTCATTTCATTTTTACCAATTCTTAATAACTAAGCCTGAGAACCTTCTGGTTTTTATGCCACTCCTGTGTCAGACTGGGTCTGCACAGGAAACAGGTGGCATGCTCAGATTCGGGTGACTCAGGACAGTTTCATGGAGAACTAGGCACACCACTGTGGGGGTGGGGGACCGCGGGGGGCCCTTTACCACGCCGGGACCCGGGGAGACACGGGGCAGAACAGAGATGTCCAGAAGCCCAACCGCCTCTGTCCTGCCTGTCTCCCATCCAAGGTTGTCAGATAAAATGTAGCACCACAAATGATGTTTTAGTCCCAGCGTGTCCCAAATATCACATGAGACGTGCTTATTCTAAGAAATTGTTGCACTGTTTATCTTAAATTCAGATTTAACTGGGTGTCCTGTCTTTTTATTTGCTAAATCATCTAACCCCTCTAAAGCCAGAGGCCTGGAACCTTCTCTCCTCCCTGCCCCCTGCGGCTTCCTGCATCCCCTCCAGCCGTGGTGAGCCCCAGGTTCTGGGGCCGGCATCTCAGAGTGCCTCAGCCTGGCAATGTTTGAGCCACTAGAGGAAGAAGGCTGGTGGCTGTGCCACCCCTGCCTGTCCCCACCCCACCCCCAGCCCCTGTGTCTGCTCTGTTTCTCCACCTTACCGCTGCAAGGCTGAGAGGCCAGTGGTTACCAGAGGGGTAATCTCCCTGCTTTTGGCCTAAACGGTCTAGAGGTCCCAAAGCTGGGAGGGCTCTCCGAAACCATCTGCCCCAACCCCCTCATTTCACAGAAACGAAAACTCCAGAAGTCCCCCCTGGCTGACAGTTGCATCAGAAACCCGGCCTCCCACCCCCCTGCCCGAAGTCCTGCCCACTGCGAGGCTCTACCTCTCCCTGATGTCTCAGCCTCTCTTCCTTGCTTTCCCATAACCACAGCCTGGGGATGTGCCCCCAGTGAAAACAGTTGGGTTGGTTTTGCTGATTATTGGGGTGATACTGGCTCGTTGGGCTGGGGTGGGGGGGGTGGGGGTGGACAACGAGCCACCTGAGAGACCTGTCAGGATTCTGGTGGCCCTGTCACGGGACACGCAGCTCTGTGCACTTGCATCTTCTGTCCTTGGCGGGGGACTGATCCGGGCTCCTTCACCCCGGCCTCTTCCGGGCGCTGATTCCTTCCCAGCTTCCACCGGCTGCACGCAGTGCTGCTGGAAGCTGCGTGTGCGCTCCACGCACCAGAAAGGTGTTAGCACGCTTTTCCACTTTGTGCCAACCTGATGGGGGCAAAGCGAGAGCTCACTGTGACTTTGGCTCCTGCCTACCCCTCCGCACGCATGCATGCACCACACACGGACGCACCATGCACGGACGCGTGCCCAACTGGTGCTCCTGCATTTGTTCTTTCTCGTTTTTTTTTTTTTTTTTTTT